GAAGTGCCATTTGTATTTAGAAGGAAAGGACATCAGCAGTAAATGCAGGCAGCAGGAAAAGCTCTCACTAACATCTTATACACTAAGACTTTGAAGATTATGAAAGAGAGAAAAGTAATGCAGGTCTGTGTATTACTTTGAGCATGTACATGAACTTTAAGCAGGTGAGAAATTGTCATTAATTACATTTCCTAATATTGTCCTGACATTCTTTCTGTAATTTTAGACATCAATGATGTGTAAGCCCATCAGAATCACAGAATCACAGAATATTAGGAGTTGGAAGGGACCTTGAAAGATCACCCAGTCCAACCCCTGCCAGAGCAGGATCAGAGCTTTGGGACATTTTGCAATACCCAAGTAAAGCTTCTGTGTTCATCCTTTCACCTAGGTTCATTAGCACTTTTGAATACTGTAACATCTCACAACATCAAAAAGGTTCATAGCAGGAAAATTACGTGGAAAAAGTCATTAGAAGTAAAACAATCCATGATGATGATATGTGATGCCCCCTTTTTTATCATTATGATGATTGTTACCTCAAGGGTTTTATTGAGGGGCACTAAGTGAAATGTCTGAAGTGGAAGAATTTGTTGTTTGAAATTTAATTTGAAATGAAGTGTTCAGAAGTGAACATTGCAAAAGCTGCTGAGAAGATCTGAAAATGGAGTTAATGAAGGAGGACGCTGTCTGCAAGGATAAAAATATGACAGATATTTTTAAAGAGTGAATAAAACCAACATCATAGCTGAAGAGTCACTTAACATTCTGAAAGATCATACACAAGATATTAGCTTGAAAAAAAATCAAAGTAGCAAATGTATATGAGAAACTTCTGTCTTTTAATAAGCCATTACAGAGAAGTTTGGAGTTATACTGCCCGTTATGCACTCGCACGTCCCAGACTTTCCTGGTGCTTTACAGTAAGAGACAGAGTGGAACTTGAGCCCCCGTTAAATTAATTGAAATGTTGCTATTGACTTCTTCATGATTTCTCAGTTTTGTCACTAAAAGATAGAGGAAAATATTGATAGGACTTTGCTGAAGCCTCTTAAAATACAGAAATACCATGGAAATTCTAGCTAAATTCAGCTGGAACTTGAAGGGAAGTTTAGAAGAGTATTTTGCTCTCACTTAAAACAGGACAAATGGCACCTGCAATATGTTGGATAAAAATGTGGCAGGGAGAGAAACATAAAGTACTTAACTTTCCATTTTTCCAGTATAGGTGTGTTTAGATAAGAAATCCAAGCACGTTTAACATGTTCAGAAGTGACTTCCAACTGTTGCAAACTTTTCTTTGGTTTCTGGTTTCACTCCAAGAGGGGTTTATTTTGATTTATCTTACACCTGTTCCTGGCAAGTTAAACTACGCTGAAATAATGTGCCTGCCTTGGGAAACGCAGCCAGGGAGGGCTGCCTTAGGCAATGGCCACACTCTGTCCTTCCCTGTTCCCAGCCTCGGGAGTTGGTAGGGGTGGTTTTTGGCAGGGGTGTGTTGTGAAGAGGTGAAGAAGATGAGAAAGAAAGGTGTGAAACAAACACCAGCAGCCTGGGAAGGCTCTCTTCACTCCTCCAACTGCTTTTTAAACATCTGCCAGTGTGTTTTCTGCTCGCCCGTTTCCTCACCCTCTCCTCTTTTGCCTCTTCCAATCACTACCTGCCAGCTAGAGGTATCTATCTGTGTGTGTATATATATATATATATATCTGTAGGTAAATAACTCCCTTGGACCAATACTTTTAAAAAGGGAAAAGAGAGCTATGATGCTGTTTGCTTCTGGGGGGGGGGCTGGCAAAACTGAATTAATTATAATTTTTTTTCAGTGGGAGACCTCCAGTAACTTCTGTGTTATAAAGGAAGCTGTCAGAGCTCCTGGAATGGGGAGGAATAAAGGCAGGGGCAAATCATTTGTCTTTTGTAAAAACCTGTGCTATCGAGAGTGGCTATGGGTAACAAAAACCCTCAGTAAGCAATTTAATAATATCCAGATCAAGCACCTAATTTATAATATTTATAATATATAGGCGGGTATGTGTGTGCTACGTGTCTATATGTCCAGTACAGTCGGTGGAGATCTAGGGCTTAGTTCAGCAGAGGACATGGAGGTGTCCCCTGTTACCTGATATTCCCTGCTCTCCAGCGACTTCTCCTGAAGGGCACAGCCTTCCCAGGTCTGAGAGCATAGCTCAGGGCATCTCAAATGGCACCGGGGAAATAAATTCGGGCAGCTGAACCAGGCCTGTTTTTGTGCCAAGCGCAGAGCGTGAGTCAGCCGAGCAGCCAGCAGGAGCTGTCCTGAGGATTAGCTGCACCTCTCCCAGCTGACGCGATTTCCTTCTGCTGCACGGAGAGTTCAGGCACCTGCTTCACATGTGGACACCTACATTTAAATGTCTTCACATGAAGCTGAATCCCACTCTATCTGTTTTTCCTGATCTCCATTAGAATTTGTGATGTCTTTAGTTATCCTATTTCTCCTCACCCAGACCTGCTGCATCTGATAGCAGTGCTCTTGAGACTTGTGTTGTGCAGAGATGCCCAGGACATTTTACCCATTTCTGCCTCTTCCTGATGTCTGAATCTGTTGGGTTTACATCTAGAAGCAAATCCAGCTTTTCTGGCAGCCAATTATAGAATCATAGAATCACAGAATGTGTTGGGTTGGAAGGGACATTTAAAGCTCATCCAGTCCAACCCCATGCAGTGAGCAGGGACATTGGTACCAAATCAGGTTGCTCAGAGCCCCATCAAGCCTGACCTTGAATATCTCCAGGGATGGGGCCTGCACCACCTCTCTGGGCAACCTGTGCCAGTGATCTACCACCCTCATGGGGAAGAGCTTTTTCCTGATATCCAACCTAAATCTACCCTTTTCTAGTTTAAAACCATTACGTCTCGTCCTATTGTTACATGCCCTAGTGAACAGCTCTTCCCCAGCTTTCCTGTAGGCCCCCTTCAGGAACTGGAAGGCTGCAATAAGGCCCCCCTGGAGCCTTCTCTTCTCCAGGCTGAACAGCCCCAACTCTCAGTTGGCCCTCGTAGGGGAGGTGCTCCAGCCCCTGATCATCTTTGTGGCCTCCCCTGGACCCACTCTAACAGCTCCATGTCCTTCTTGTGTTGGGGGCTCCAGCACTGGATGCAGCACTGCAGATGGGGTCTGACCAGAGCCCTCCTTGGCCCTGCTGGCCACACTTCTTGTGATGCAGCCCAGGATGGGGTTGGTTTCTGGGCTGCAGATGCACATTGGTGGCTCATGTCCAGCTTCTCATCCACCAGTACCAGGGCTGCTTTCCAGCACATCATTTCCTAGCTTGTATCAGTAGTAGCCACCTATGTAGTAGCCAAAGGCATTTTAAAACGTTTTAGCATAAGACAGGCAGAAGGTCAGCCCAGCCTCACACTCCATGTCCAACACTGACACTGGTCAAGAGAGGTCAGGGAAGATCACACAAGCAGGGCAAACATGCAGAGATATTTCTCCACAAGAGTCTCTCAGCCTCCAACACAACAGCCAGCTACTGGGAGGCATCCTGAGCCAGATGTGGACTCTTGGTATTAATTAGCCCAGGTTTAAATTTTTCCCATGAGATCATCCTGCTGGCTTTGGACCCATGTCAACTTTTAGTGTCCTGTGACAAGGATTTCTGCAATTTAACAGGACACTCCTTAAACCACAGGTTGTCTGTACCCTTAGTATTGTAACAAGAGGACAAAGCCATCCACAGATGAGTTCATATAGCCCCAGGATGTTTGCAGATGAGGGTATTCGGACCTGAACTTACTATGGTGGCTGAGCAGAATGAACCAAGGCCATTTCCTGCTGCACCAGATCAGGCTGAGGAAGCAGTCTGCTGCTTGTAGGTACAGCCAGTCTCCCTCATCACTCGCCTGTTGGGGGACTTTTCACTTACTGGGTCGTTCTGGACTTGTAGGAGCTACACCTGGGACAAGATGGGTGTTCATACCCAACACAAAAGAAGGAAAACTCATGTCAACAAGAACTTGCTTTCAGGAAGTCCTTTGCCTGCAAGCATGAGTTTAGATTATCCTTGCATATAAACTTACAAACACCTCAAAATCCTAAGATTTAAACCAAGTGTTTCCTACAAAGGCTGCTCAAGCTTTTAAAGAAGGTCAGGACATTAATGATGAGGGAATGAAGTAACACAGCTCTTGTCCTGTCCTTTTCCAGTCCTTGCACACCGCTGTGTTGGCCCCAGTCATCTTAAACAACTTTATGCCTTCTCAGAGCATCCATGTGCCGTCTCTGTGCCTCTTCTCCTCATCTCACTTCAGACACTGCTCTGGCTCAGAAGGCAACTGGCCAATGAGTTCATGAAGAACAGACTCACTCTCGCAGTTTGAATCTGTGACCCGAAGAAATAAATCCTAACACTTGCTGGACTTCAGCAAACTTTCCAGCCTGCCAGCTAAAAGAATGCTCCTGAGTACCCAGCACTGTATTTCTCCCTGTGCAGGAAATGGTACCTCGGGAGTTTTGTGTCCAAAAACTACACGCCTCAACCACACAATGTTTGTACTCTTAGGAAATTGGTCTGTGTGCCTGTGTGTCTGGTTCCACTGGACTCTCACCACTAGGGCTGCACTGGGTTTATTCTTACCTTTTTTTTTTTGCCTTTTCATAGTAAATTTGCTATGGGAAAAGATATAAAGGGAAAAAGTTCTAGTCCATCTACTGATTTTTAGTTTGCTCCGTCAAGCTTCAGAGCTCCTACATGAGGTTGCTTCAACACTGCTCCTCTTATCCTTAGTTTTTCAAAATTACTACCCTCAGTTTTCACCCTGGAGGCTTCCAAGGCAGCTTTTGACATGAGTCCTGACCTCTCATCCCTACCTCAAACAGGAATCTCGGTGCTTCACATTCCCAGCCACCGGAGGAAGGGTCTCTCTTGTGTCCCCTCATTCAGCTCATGTACATGTATGTGTTATTTACCGGTACCTGGACATTAATGTTTTCTGTAATGTATTTCTTTCAGACATCATTGTTCTCATCGCTTCAATAGCAGTTGTTTCTGCAAAAACTCAGGGTAACATTTTTGCAACATCAGCACTGAGAAGTCTTCGTTTCCTACAGATCCTTCGTATGGTGCGCATGGACCGAAGAGGAGGCACTTGGAAATTATTAGGTTCAGTAGTTTATGCACATAGCAAGGTACGTACTCCTAGGTGCTGATTTTGTCTGATTTTTGATACCTTCACTTGATGTGATTCAGCAAGAGCCTAAGGACACAAACATTCATCGGCTTTGACCAGAATACCTAAAATTTTATGAAGTGACATGAATTGTAGTGGGCGTTAGCACAGATACATTAGGCCATGTTAAACACTAAGAGTTTTTAGAATATGTTAACAATGTTGTCCTTTATATGCTGTTATAATTCGATATATATTGGTGACATTACTGGAGTGTCAAACTGTAGGAGTAGATTTGGTCCAGTTGTAGAGAAAAATTGCATCTGTAGGGAAGCATTTAAGTGCTCAAATGCCAACAAAGTATATAGGTCTTTTCATTATGTCTTCCTTGAAATGCCATTCTGTTCAATCTCTCAAATGGATATTGATCTCTGATTTTTTTTTTTAAATCTAGGAATTAATCACAGCCTGGTACATCGGATTTTTAGTACTCATCTTTTCATCTTTCCTGGTTTATCTGGTGGAAAAAGATGCAAATAACCAATTCTCCACATATGCAGATGCTCTCTGGTGGGGCACAGTAAGTACCGAAAAATAATATGCAGTGTTTATCCAGTATGCCAGGGTGCTTTGTATTTTGAATTTGAACTTGTTGTGCTGTTCAGTGAACTGTTTTTCTCTGGCATAAAACTGGTTGGAGAAGCTCCCTCCTCCAGCTTTACATTTCCACATCCATACTGAACCTTCAAGGGAAGCAAGCATTTTATTTTATTAACCCAGATCCTTTCAGTAATACAATTTGTAATAAGGTCCCACAAAGATCTGCTTTGATCCAGAACGAAGCTGCTGTGAGCTGCAGTGCAGGAAAAGAAACAAGTGCCAGGAAAGAAAAAGGGAAAAGATTCTGACATCAGCTTTGTGGTAAAGGGAAGAGCATCAGGACCCTTAGAATTATGTTTCTCCTTCCTCTATACCTATATATAGAGGTATATATAGGTATATGTAGGTATATATAGGTATATATATATATATATACCTCTATACTGAGCACAAAAAGCAAGAGTAGCTATTCCCATTCTGGTTCAGCAATGTTCTCCAATTATTTTTACAGGTGTAAAAGCCCTGATTTAGTTGAGCTCATCCCCAACTATCAAATCAACCAGTTTTACTTTGTTGAGATCTGTGGGATCTAAGTACATGCCTGACTTCTTTTCTGAAAGAAGGAGGGTTATATGAATGCTTACATGTTTAAATAAACTAAACTTTAAATGGACAATGAAAAACTAGGCCTGAAATGCTGTTGGGTTTTTTTTAATGGCATAATTTGTAGGAATTTTTGCTTTAAAATGCCCTATAGTGAGCTAGACTCCTGCACTGTGTGAGAGTTGCTTAGGAAATCTGCCCCAACAAAGCCAATGGCAGAGCTATAGCCAGGCAGTATAACACTGCTTTTCTTTTCCTTCTGATGCCATAGAACAAACACCACGAGCTCTGACAGTGTCTGGGTAGTGAAATGATGCCTGTGAGACCATTAATGCTGACATAACCTAGAGCACTCATTAGTTTTCCTGGAATCAGTGCAAGACCTGAACCAGCCTCTGCCCCCTTTCCTCTGTCAGAGGGATGCAGGGATGAAGCTTTTTTGCCTCAGAGCTTGTGCTGACAAGACTTCCTCTGGCCTCAGTAGTACACACAGGCTCAGAGGATTGTGCTAAAGCCTTTTCCAAAATGCTTTGAATCCTTGAAAACAAAAGTTTTAATAAGTTTTGTTTACTTTTTGAGCAAAGGTCAAGGTCATATCCTATTAGTAGGACTAGTCTGTGTTATATGAAGTTCGTTCATCTAGAGGTTAATTATTTGTTACATGTCTTCCCTAGATGCTGTATTTCTGTGTTAGCAGTGCACAAAATTGGGAGCTTGGAAAAGCCAGTCCTAGTGGCTCTTACTAGGATAATATATATATAAATCTTTTCCTGAAACTTGTTGCTTTAGAGCACCAACACATCTCTCTGATAAAATACATGATTTTATCCTGCAATCCAAAGGCATGTAAACTTCATGTTGCCTAAAACCATGAGAGGTTTTGCCCTCCATCACACCACTGCAATTTATTTTGTGGTTTCTCTGTAACTCAGAATAGAATTTGGCCCATGCAGAAAGAGTCTCACTTCTCTGCAAAAGCTGAGGTCCAGATCTGGCTTAAAGGATTCTGACCTGCGCATATTGACACAACTGTGAAACATCTCGTTGGTGTCCTCACTGACTGGTACTCTGGCTCCGGCAGTCTGCAAACACCATGGCTCTTGTGGGGATGTGGTCCTGCGAGAGACCTTCCTGAGGTGATGTAGGTGGGGTGTTCCCAGGCCTGGGAAGGTGCATTTTTGGCTGCTTAGTTCTCCAGGACACCCTGTGCCTCTCTGCAAAGCCACATTTGACTTAGCACTGCATGGGCAGGAAGTTCATAGGATCACCTGCCAGTGGGCAATAGTGAGGGGACACACACGTGTGAGGAACGGGAATGTCCCAGCAAATTCAGACCAGCCACAAAGAGAAGAGAAGACTCCAGGGAGACCCTATTGCAGCCTTCCAGTTCCTGAAGGGTCCTACAGGAAAGCTGGGGAGGGACTTTTTACAAGGGCAGGTAGCAATAGAATGAGGGGGAATGGTTTTAAACTGGAAGAGGGGAGATTTAGACTGGATATGAGGAAGAAATTCTTGGCAGTGAGGGTGGTGAGGCCCTGGCCCAGGTTGCCCAGGGAAGCTGTGGGTGCCCCCTCCCTGGCAGTGTTCAAGGCCAGGTTGGACGGGGCTTGGAGCAGCCTGGGCTGGTGGAGGTGTCCCTGCCCATGGCAGGGGTTGGACTGGGGGAGCTTTGAGGTCCCTTCAACCCAAACCATTCTGTGATTCTGTGTTTCTATGATCCCACTGAGGCTCATCTCAGATCTAGATCCTTCTCCCTGAGCAGCTCCTGCAGCAGGAACAGGATCTTTATTTTAGAGTTTGTTTCTCCGCTACCTGCTGACTGCTCTTTCTTAAGGAAATAGCCTGCTAAGAAATAATCATTGTAGAAAGTGGTGCTTAAAATATTTTGTATACTAGGAAGTGAAAATATATGACTCATAGGTCAGATAAGTAGTGCAACTGAGAAAATATGAATATTTTC